AACTGACGTAACCAAAAAAAGAAAACACAACTGTTATAAATGTATTCTGAATTGATTTGTTATTATACTTACTAATATATATTTCTAAAGCTGTATTTCAGCTGAATTCACAGAAAAATCTACAGGTACCATAAAGCAACAAAATATGTCGGCAAAATGAAAGATTAAATTTAATGTCTTACGTTTTAGTTCCAGATCAGTTTGGACAAAGTCTAACATTTATTTATAATCCCTGATAAATTAAATTTTACCAAGTGGCACGATGGTAGATGAAGAAATAGTTATTATGACACAATTCAAACATCAGATTAAGTTTAGCTTTTATCATTGCTTCCTCACTCGTGTTTCAACATTCTCTCGACAGTTAATCAGCATTGTTTGGATGTTGGAAAAGTGTTATTTTTCAACTGTCATATGTCTGCAAAAATTTTAAAAGGCATATTTGTAAAAAATAATGTTTATTAGACATACAACTTAAAAATGGTTGATGTTTTAACTCTGATGGTTTGTTAACAACACTTTTTCTACTGTTTGGTGTTCAATGTTGTTGCAATGTTTTTCTTAAACTGACATTTTTCCAACAACAGTTAATGTCTTTGTTAAAAGACTTAGTTTTCTACCAACTTGATGTTCATCACATACCAAAGTAAATAGTTTTTTCAAAATGATGCAAAGTTCAATTTGACACTGTTAAAAATTAAATCTAAGGAAATTATCATCAAGAATTGTAGAACAAATATTCCTTTAATAGAAAAGACCATTAACCAGTAGAAGGTTTAAAGCGTGTGTCCTTAACATTTTTCTTTCATTACTTTTAATTTTATACTTAGTTTTAAAGGTGGTACTTCTACACTTTCATTTGCGTAAAAAGCTTAAGTTTAAACTCCAACTTTTAAAACTGTGTTTTTAAATGATAGGATTTATACTTCCACTTGAATACTTTTGATGCCTCTGTCAATAATAGATCAAAATTTGCATACATTTGTAGGAACAGGACACCTTTTTGTATGCAACCATGTCTGTGCATTCATTCAAAAGGCTTGTGGTATTAATGTGGTGGGTTTGTGATTTCAGGAATAAAATTCATTGATGGACAGAAAACAAGATGTGCTGTAATCTGTTAATAGTTGACTATAAGGAGACTTGTAAGGGCATGCAGGCTCTTGTGTCCTGAATGCTCACTGGTTGGTGGTTAAAGTCCCTCCCTTATTTCCTCAAGTTCCCTTTCCTTAAAAGTCAGAAAAATAGTGTCTCTTCATCACTACCCTCATCCTTGGTAAAAAAGCTGCACATCTGAAGACCTTCATATTCTCAGAGATTCAAGATTATAACTCAGGTAAAAATAACTTTTTTTTTATTCTAAATATAATTAAAATGTTTTAACTTAAAAGCATGAGTTGACATTTTTTTATTGAGTTTTGGTTGATAAAATTTTACTGAATTAAAGGGTTTCTTTTTGGGAAAAACAAACAATTTAAAATAATGACTACTGAGTTAATTACCTTGAGTCAATTAAACTTTATAATTTTGTCATTACTTAGCTTATTTGAAGGTGCTTAATTAAAGTTGACATATTTTATCCAGAAGTCAGTGCAAATTGTTCTGCAATTTGTTCCCTAATCAAATCTTAGGGTAAAGATTGAATGAAAATCCTACATAAAAATTAAACTTTTATTATTAAGACAAGTATAAGCTACCTATATAAAATATGTCATTTACCAGTTTTAAGCGGCTTAGTAGGGATGATCTGGTGGGCTTCATCAAATGCCTCTGTGGAGAAACTTGAGTATCGTTTTAATATTTATTATTTAAGAGGAAAACAAAACTGTCACACCAATATTTTATTAGTATATTCCTTCAAAAATGCAGACATACTACGACTACTTTTAAAAGAGAGGATGGGTCGACTGCCCCAAGGTTGTTTCAGAAAGACTGCTTGGGTGAAACACAAAGAACGCATCTTATGTTAGTTGAAAAGATCACTAATGCAATCTTAACACTAGTAATGGAACTATGCTAAATTGAGCTTCAGAAGCTGATGGCAACAGGAGTAAAACCGGTTCCATTCATTCTTTGCCTGAGGTCTTGGATTTTGGACTTAGCTTCATCTCACCAGTTCACTTACTGGACCTCTTCACCATTTAGATCAGGCAATTCTTAAATGTGGTCGATGAAAAAAGATAATAGCTTACTGGTTTTCAGTGTCGGTTACTAATTCCTTACTCTAGACTTTAAAAAAGATTACTTAAAAATTTGAAAATAAACTCAGCTAACAAACAGAAGTGAACCAAATGGATTCAATAATCTTTAAAATATGCATGTATATGCATTTTGGCTTTTTTCATGTTAATGTTTTTAAATTTCCTTGCACCAAAGGTTTAAATTGGCGATGAGAGTTGGTGGGGACACCATAAGTGTGGGTGCTGATGCACCTGCAGTTACAGGACCTGACTGCTTTTATTAATTAAATGCCTTCCTGTTGTTGAGAAACAATAGGAGCAAGTAACAAAATAAAAAAATATTTCTAATTACAGATAGACAGATATATACCTTTTAGTGCCTAAATTATAAAGTCAGCAATTTTAATAAAAAATGTATATATATAAAAAAAACTAACAGTACTGGTCGATGTCAACAGTAATATATCGGGCATGCCTATTATGTCCACGAGTTTAAATAGAATGTTCCTAGAGGAACGCCAGAGGAAGGCGTCCAGGGGCATCAGAAAAAAATTTCCGAGCCAAGTCAGCTGACTCCTTTCAAGGTGGAGAAGAAGCAGCTCTAATCTATCTCTATCAAGGGAGAGCCCAGCCAGCCTGCAGAGGAACCTCATTTCAGCCACTTATATCCAGGATCTCATTTTTTAAGTACACAAGAGCCTGCATGTCCTTATAAGTCTCCCTCTTGTCAATTATTAACAGATAGAAATTTCATGACCATAGATGAGAATATAGTTTAACTTGTAAATCAAGAGGTTTGCATTTTTGCTCAGCTCTCTCTTCACCACAACAGAGTAATGCAGCATCTGCAGGGGTGTCAAGTAATAAAGTACAATTACTTAGTTGCTGTACTTAAGTACAATTTTTAGGTATCTATACTTTACTCCATTACTTTTTTTTTTCCTACTTCTGACTACTCATTACATTTTCACACAAGTATCTGTACTTTCTATTCCTTACATTTTTAAAACAAACATTACTCGTTACTCTAGGCTTCCGTTTAATGTTTTAAAAAACTTATTTTATTTGCACCATCCAATGCAGATCATTGGCGCCACCCACATCTAGTGAAAACTAGTGTAATTGGATGAGTCATATAATGCAAAAACTCATTGGTTAGCAAAAGGAAATCATCAGAAGCAAGCAGGTGTTCTTTAAACTGCAAACGTGAATTGTCTATGCCATTCTAGAATGTTGGATTCAGAAAAATATGTCGAAATGTCTGAAAGGTCGGACACAGGCGAGAGCGTATTGGGAGATGAAGACGGAGACCAACAAGACCTCCCACATCCTTGGCCCTATCTCAAAGAATGTTTTCTAAATAGCCGAAAAACTGAGCTTTTAATTCATATAGTGGCATCTGGCTGTTTTTTTTAATGGTTACTTTATAATTTTATACTTTAAGTAGTTTTTGGAGCACATACTTTTTCACTTTTACTTGAGTAAAGAGGTCAAGTTGATATTTCAACTTTTACGAGAGTGTTTTCAAACTGCAGTATTTATACTTCTACTAAAGTAACAAATGTGTGTACTTTTCACACCACTGATCATCTGCATTATTACAACCAACCCTCTATCAATCTCCTGCTCCATTCTGCCCTCCATGTTGCATATCCAAGTAAATATGTTTCATTTTGAAGTCTGCAGTTTACAATCCTTTTCTCTCTGTGCTGTTCTGGAAAACTTATAATATTGAGATGTTTACTGATTTAATGATGCCAGAGAAACCAAATATCAAGTCACCTCTGCATGAAACATGAATAAATCTCAGCAATTTGGGATTTGTACTGTAGAATCTCTACAGTATGGTTAATTTCTTTTCAATTATAAGTATAAGCATATTTTTACCTGGAACTGTGAGTCATGGTCCTCTGATGAGCCAAGCTAAATAACTTTTTTCACTAGTAAAGACAACATGCAAATGCTATGTTTTGTTAAACTCATTGCATTATAAAGCTAACCTGATTAGTATAAGCACTCTGTTGCTGTTTTATTTTTATTTATTTATTTATTTTTTTTTGTGAAAAGATCTGTATATCTATAATTTTTTTTGGTGGCAACTTTTTTTTTTTTTTTTGCAAAATGATGCAAAACTACTGAATGTTTACCAATGTATCTAAAAATGACACACACCAGGCCAGGAAGTGCCTCTTCCAAAGTCTCAAGTTGCAGTATCCTGTCTTTCTCACCCATGCCACACCATTACCATATAAGGTGATGCTGGAACCTCTCTGGTCATCATAGATCATCTTAGCCTTCAGCATTGAAATGTCATTCTAGCTCACTTGCACAGAAATTGAACAGACATAAAGAATGAGTAGTTATCCAAAATAGAAAATAAAATAATAAGAAATGAATCTTCAACACAGTGAAGTACCACCATCAAGCATATTATATCTCAACGTGACAGATCCAGAGCCATAGAGTCAGGAGTCTTACCTGCACAGCTCTAGATAGATCCAGTGATATTAACGGCAGAGAGAATAAAAAAAACATTGACTGAAAAAGCTCTGAAGTCAGGCCGCTGGGCCTGACCTAAGATTCTGTTGGCTCAATTAAATGAGTAGAAAGGAAAACAAGTATTGAAGTTATAAGTGAGCTCTGTCTCTGCCAGGCATGGGACATGTCCACGCCAGTCCTTCCGAAAGTTACGCCTGTGCCCTGACTGGTTGATACAAGTGACCAATTTTAAACAAACTTATTAAAACAGACCACTTTTCAGTCGTTGAAGTCTAAAATAAAAACATCAAATACCACGTGTCTTATTCCTCCATCTTGTCTTTGTATTTTGTTTTGCAGGTGGAAACCCTGACAGCAGCTATTTTTACACATTGACTTATTCATCCCAAGTGCTGAGCCATAATTAATTCCATCATGTCCACCCAATCAGCTCAGTCTTATCCTCAGGATGCCTACAAGGCTCTGCTCAAAGGCATCCAGGAGTTGGACCTTCAGCACTCCAGTGTTCCTTGTAACCTGGTGCTGACAGGAGATGCCTTTCCTTTAGTGATAAACAGCCATGGTCATATCCTCCTGGCTGCCTCTGTGTATGGGGGAGGAAGAATTGTGGTTCTGAGCCATGAGACCTACCTGACCCTCTGTCCTGCTCTGGTAGAAAATGCTCTGACCTGGCTGGGAGGAGAGAAGTCTACAAACCTGTCTTTGGGGGTGCAGAAAAAAATGAAGGCTGTTGCTGATAACCTCAGCAGTTCCAGCTACAAAGTCAGTCTCGTTGAGGAATTTAGTAAAGATCTTGGAGTCGATGTGTACATAACAGATGCCTATGAAGTGGGTACAAAAGCAGGAGACCTGGTAACCTTCATGAAAGCAGGTGGAGGGATTCTGATCGGTGGGCAAGCTTTGTCGTGGGCTTCACAGAACCCCAAAGAAAACCTCATCCTTCAGTTTCCGGGGAATAAAGTAACAGCAGTTGCAGGAATCTACTTTTCTGCTCAGTCTGGAGGAGCAGAAAAAATGCCCATTTACGCTGAGATCCCAACCTCCTGGAAAGCTGTACAGTAAGTGTAAACTAATTTAATTTGTTTTTTTCTGTATCTATATATGATGCTTATGGTGAGCTTGACTGTCTTCTTGCTACACAGAAGTAGGATGGATTTCAAAGAAGACCTGGAGTTTTTGCTACAAGGAATTTCCAATTTTAGCATCCGGCCAAGAAATTTATTTCCCTGTGCGGCTTTGGTCCATGGTCCTCTCTCCTTTTCCATCTGTGCCACTGATGATGGAGAGACGTTCCTGGCAGGATCCTACTATGGACGGGGACGGATCATTTTAGTGACGCATCAAATATTTCTGGAGAGAGAGGTGCAGTAAAGAGAACATCAAACTTGCTTTTCACTCTATACTACATTCAGGCATTCATCCATTCACACACATATTCTCACACTAAAGCTAAGTATTCGCAGTATAATGTATAGATACAAATTCCACTGATCAATTATCTAATCAGGCCTCAAATATCTTTGTATATCTTCCTTAACATAACTTCTGTTTTCTAATAGAATATGGCATCATTCTGGAAGAATGCTTATGATTGGTTGGACCAAGGCAGAAAAGGAGTCGTTGGATTTGAGCCGGGAGTTAAACCTTTACCCAATTTAGGGTTGACATGTAAAACTACACAGTTAAACCAGGACCTGAGCGTGTTTGTGTGCACAGCATACACTGGAACTGAAGCCCAGATGATCCAAAACTTTGTGGTGGAAGGAGGAGGCCTGGTTATTGGTGGAGAGGCCGCGGATTGGGCATCAAAGAACACCGGACAAAACCCAATGCAAGACTTCTCAGGTATTAAACCACAATTACATATTTTTAAATCCAAGCTTAGATATAAGATTTATGAATTAACAAAGGGAAAAAGATGCAAAGGTGGGTAGAGTTCCCCACATTTGTATTAAGGTAAGAGAAACATTATCTTAAAAGCAAGATGAATTGTTGAAAGGTTTGTAAATTCACAAAAAATACATCTTGCCAGAAGCCAATTGATACATAAGTCTTAAATACAGAAATATTTTTAACCAATAAAATGCAGTGATGTGTAATATCGACCACAAGTGATTGGTTGAAGCAAAACAAACATGGCTGTGCCGGTGGTATTATGTATAGACTCCACTATTCAGACTGCTTTAGCTGAAATAGCCTCTATTTCTTTTTTGAAAAATCAATGAGCAAAAGGATGCAATTTGTGCCTTTGTGGATAGGTGTGCAGGTTCTCCCCATTTGGCAAGAGTTTAATTTTATCAGTTAACTCTGTTAGTTATGAAACAAATCAAGAATATAATAGGTACTGTTTGCTGTGATTGGCTTAATGCTCAATATGTGAGACAGATGCCACTTTAACCAATTTCACCAATCACCTCGAAGAATTGCACGTAATATCTGCCCATTTTTCAAAAACTTTCCAAAGCAGCCTTTCCAGATGGATACAAATTGTTCTGCACATACCAATCTGCTTTTAGCCAGTTTAAGAGTAACACTACCTTATCCTATTTTTACTGAAGTAAGTTAAAAAGTAGCCAATCAAGAAATGACTCAAGGAGAAGCAAAAGCTATGTGTTAAAAAGTCTTCTCAAGTTCTGGAAAAAAAAGGTTGTTTTTTTTTTGTATGTGTAAGTTCTGTTATTTTAACTACTTTATTAAAAATAATTAGTTAATTTTGTGGAACATTAATTGTTTCAGGAAACAAGATCTTGAACAAAATGGGCCTGAGCTTGCTGAGAAAAACTGTGCAGAAAGGGGAATACAAAGCTCCTGATCCAAGCCAGGTCAAGGAATTTCACATCCGTGATCTACTCCATCGTTTTGCTGGTCATGTTCTAGAAGGCAGAGAACTCAACAAGGAAGACGAAGAGCACCTTGAGAAGCTGGGAAAAGATTTGGCCTCGTTCTTAAACATGAAAGCTTATGATCGCTTCTCTTACATAGAGATTCTTTCCGTTTTGATTGACATCTTAAAAAAAGGGGAGATATCACAGGTGGGTGACATGAATTTCCTTTTGTTTATGTTGTATTGATAACTTTTTGCAATGGTTATCAACTACATTTAAATATAGGATTGTCATGATTTATCTAAAGATCTGACCCACAAGCAGAAAGCCAAAAAGAGAGACCAGGGAAAGGTTTAACAGGTTTATTGTAAGTTGGTAGAGAGGAGTCCAGTGCTGCTCTGAACACTGGTGAACCGGGACCGAAAAGTGAAAGCGAAGATTCTGCGGTTAGTTCAGGCTCAGTGGGAAATTTGAGTCTTTGATTTGAAGAAGGAATACAGGCAACAGTACTCACGTTTCCAGAAAAAAAGGTGTCTTTTGTTGAATCCAGTTGGTGTGGGTTTTTCCAGTAATAGACTTGTTTGTTGGATGGCAGACAGGGCTTGACCAGGTTGAGGTGATTCCTTGACGAACGGAGGAGTTGACTGCCACTTAGATTTCCTGCGGTACTTGAACGGTTTCTTGTGGAGATGAATCCCCTGCTTAGAGAGAAGCCCAAACAATCCTTGGGGAAAAGTTGATCCAAACCACCAGTTTGAATCCTCAGCTCAGTTAGATGCTCAGAGAATCCTCCCAAGGGGGAGAAGGTCCAAAACATCCAGTTTGCAGGAGGACTTCGTGCCGAAAGGCAAAGACAAAAACAACAAGGTTAAAACTCAGGTGACAAAAACTCAGTTTGACTCAGCAAAACTCAGCTTGGATAGAGTACTCAACACTGGCAAACACTCTGGCCTCGAGGTGGTGGCAGTCAGCAGCTGAAGAGTCCTCCGGTAATGGGGCAACCATCCGCAGGTGTGTGAGGAAGCCAACGAGAACCAGGCGCCACCTGGTGGTGGAGGGAAAACAAACAAAAGCACAACCCACACAAACTGGATTCCTAACAAAGATGTTATCCTTTATTTCAATAAACTGACGAAAATGATTCATGTTTTTTTAAACAACTACCTTATTTTCACGACCATAAGGCGCAACGTACCAAAAGGTGCAGTCTCAGTTATGCGTGCCATTCCTGTATTTAACACACACATAAGGCGCACCGGACTATAGGGCGCGTTTTTTATATACAGGTACA